ATTGTACTATAGAGTGTTTGTACTTTATATAATACCTATACTTCTTTGCACATATATGTGTGTGTGTGTGTGTGTGTGTATATGTATATATATATTTATACTCTTTTGTATTTATTTATTTATTTGTTAATTGTTAGGCTTCTTGATCTGGGACCTGAGTCCGAATTTCATGCCATAAACATGCAAATGTGAGCTGGTATGACATTAAAAATCCTTGAATCCTTGCATGAAACTGAAAAACTTTGAATTATGGGAATATAATTGGCGACTGTGGCTGAGTGATTAGAGAAGTCGTCCTCCAATGCAAGAGTTGGTGGTTCCATTTCTCCAGCAGTCACATGCTGAAGTGTCCCATAACATGGACAAGACACTGAACCCCTCATTGCCTCAGATGGGTGTCCATCATTGTATGAATGTGATAAAGCACTGATTATTCTTTGCATAGATATAGTAGAGTGCTGTATGAATGGGTAAATGATGGCACAGATTGTGTTGTAAAGCACCTTGAGTATCTTAATAAGAGAGAAATGTGCTATGTAAGTACAGTTCATTTATAATTACGGTACACATTATGGATGCAACTGTGCAACCAGTTTAGATTGAAAACGACTTATTTATAGGTTTATTACCTTGTACCACTGTATCTGAAGAGTTGGTCTTCCTGTGATGATGGCTGTGAATTTTGCTGATTGTCCTGGCTCTACACTCAGGTCCTCAGCAGGTACCTGGATGGAGGGAGGAGCTGGAAAAACAATAAGCCAATTAATTAGTCATACAAACATTCACAATAAATCTATTTTTACTTTTAAAAGACATGAATACCATCTGTGATTTCCTGCATGGGCTCTGCAATGAAGATCTCTTCTTCTTCCTCAAGGTAGCATGGAGGCTGCTGTTCCACTCGATCCGATGGTGGGGAGTGAACATCCGTGGCAGAACTACACTCAGCAACAGAGACAGGTGAGATAAAGGAAAGAGTCAAACTAACAATGCAGAAGGAAAATGTGGTGCTTTATCACATATCACTCAAAATTTTGTTTTTTCTTAATTTCCTGATTAAATCCGAAACCAAATATACTATACACCATCTGAATTTTAACTATGAAAACTACTACTTTTAAAAACTTTAACTAAAGAAATTACCTATAAGATTAATTATAACAAAAGACCATAGTACACTGTTGACTCAATGACAATAAAATAACTAGTTTAATTAATATAAATATACTGAGTTTAGTTTTGTTAAACATGATGCTCTAGAAATCATAAAGTAGACAAAAAGAGTGGAGAAAATTCCTACAAAAATAGAATGGCTTTATTTCAAGATTAAACAATTATATTGTATTATAATACTATAATACATCAGTGCTTGTTTAGGATGGGGATTATTTATTTTCCTATCGAGAAAGCTTTAAAATTCTCATTTAAATGACACTCTTAAGGACATAGTAATGAGCTTGATCGTATATTATGTTGATTTACCTACAAATTAAACAATAATGGTCCATTCAAACTAGCTGGTTCTAGGTGAAATAACTTACTGTTCAGATTCTCCAGGAAACAACATTTTTGTGATAGAAGTGGGACTGAAATCAGTCTGTAACCATTTCTTTACAAAGGCAGTGGACCAACCCTCTAAGTCAGCATCTAGGAAAACCAAAACATCATTCAGCCAAAATTTCTACTTCAAAATAAATATAAGAATATTATTTTGAACTTATTTCAAGAAATTTGCACAAATACCAAAGTGGAAAATTGAAATTCAAGAAAGCACATTACCTCCCAGTCCAAGGACAATAACAGTGTACAATCTGTCTTACCTCGTTGTGTCAGGGTTTTACCCTCTAAACCACTTCAACAGAACGTGGGCACAAGCCCACTCCTGCATGAGCAGAAAGGGGACACTTGCCCAGCACATGACCATCTTGTTGCAGTGGAGAGTTAGCTGGGCATGCGTTGGCAGGAAGAGAAAGGGGAATGTTGATAGGTTATTTGTTATCATGTCAGAGATGACTTACATGGAACGATCCATGTGAAGAACCCCCTGCTTTAGGACAAGTGAAGGGAAGATGGGAAACATGTGAGTTATGGACAATGAAAGGACAAACAAACGTGGAGTCAAAAATTACATACCGTTCACTTCCCTGAACAAAAGTTCACCACTCTAACATTCTATCCATGACAAAACATCTTCTGATACTACTCTTCTTCATTTATTAATATTGTGTTATAGCAGGAAAGAAATAATCTGTTACAATCCATGCCTTTGGTGGAAAGTGGAAAAATGATGAACAACACACAAAAAAACTTGTGAAATAAACATATCAGTGTTTTTTCATGAGGGTGGATTTAGAGAAGTAAAGTATGATGTTTATGCTGAATGGCTGCCACTAGATCGCAACTCAATATGGCATCAGGTCAGGAACGGAAACAAACTGGTTACATGGTCTGACCATCATTGTGTCTCTGCAACAACTCTCAGGACTGCATTACATGCATAGATTTACCCCAGGGTGATCAGTAAGAGAACATCAAGACCGTAGAGTTAAATTTGGTGATGTGTGAGCTCTCATTGAGATGCTTGTGAACAGGCATACAGTAAATACAGTTCAAATACATGCATCATATGCTTCTTATTATTTCTGCTTTTCCCTCTTCAGGGGTCACCACAGTGAGTCATCCTCCTCCACCTCACTCTGTCCTCACTCCAACTACCTCCATGTCCTCTCTAACTGCATCCATATATCTCCTCTTTCATATTCCTCTCTGTAGTTTTCCTGCATGCATCATTTGCTTTGTGACCTTATGAGATTAACATAAATTTATGTTAGCAGGAGCTAAAACAGACGATTTCAAAAGCTTTTTACAGCAGTGTCCCAGTCAAGACAGACTCAAAAACCAGAAAAACAGTAGTAAACAACAGCAAGCAGCAGTCTGCACATAAAATAAAAAAATACTTTTTTGACTTTCAGGTAGAAGATTTCAATCAGAAATACCTATTTAAAGATGTGACAGCATAGTATGTGCACAAATACTTTTATTTCATTCAGTGAGCTTTACACTTATATTAATATGAGAAAAATGTATCTGGCGGATACCTATGTTATTGACTTATATCATTGGAATCATGATAGCAGAGTTTCTGCTTTTTGGCACTGGCGGATACCTACGTTATCGGCTATTAAAGAAGATGGTGGCAGCAGTTTTGGCCATGGCAAAGCTGCCGACCTTGTACTAAAGAAAAACAACGGCAGCAGTAAAGCTACCGACCTTGTGTGAAGATTTGGTTCGTACTTCGAGCACTCAAAATCAGCTGATTTACGAGCTCAACCATAAGATGGCAGTGATTTGTGAGAATCACAGGCCACTTGCGGCTTCTAGGACTCGCCAGCATGTTGGGGACAACCTTGGAGGGAGCTAATAAGCATGGACTAGTGGAATGCTCACAAATCTGGCCATTTTGGATCATCGAAAGTACCAGCAGAACTCAAGGGTGACGAGAAATAACAGTCTGCCTGAAAAAAAATCAACAACAGTAGCTTATCTGAATCTGATTCCCCCGTTCGGCCTCAAAGCAGGCCGACTTATCAAATTTCTCCTGGGAAATGTGTAAACTAAGAAGGCTCTGCTTTACTGCAACACCCCCACCCCCCTGAGAACTTCTGTGAATGCTTATCAGAGCTGTACCGGCTGACACCATCTTCTCAGGACTATAATGCTATCTGGAAATGCTTCATGGGCAATTCTCACCGTCTTGACGTCAAATGCATATGTAATGTGTCTTTAACTGCGAAAGAGAGTAATAATATATTTTCTGACACATTAAAATGCCATAATAGTTGGGATTCTAGTGAGAGCAATGGTAGTTGGGACTACAGTACTCATGATGTGAGTGTGTGTGAAATGGGAAGAAAGAAAAATAAGTACGTGAGTAAAATCTCAAAATGTTGCAAACCTGACAGAATGGACAAATGAGAGTAGTTGTCAGCGAAACCTGATCGAAACTGATTGGTTGTGAGATGTTACAGTATGTGATGTTGATAGAGGTGATAGGATCTGGAGGAAAACCAGTCAATGGCATGTGCTTCACCCCTTCTCAAACACAGCTGACCTGTTAAATGTGTGCCCCCCCCCCCCCACACACACACACACACAATTTGGGTTTCCCCAGTGCATGGGAGGGGTTTACTTCAGTCCTACCTTTAGCTGGTAAGTCCTGGGGTTGGTCACTGTCCGTGTCAGTCGGTGGTACAAAAGTGGGACAAAGACCTGCTTTGCACTTCACACAACCAAGTTCATTCCAGAGCTGCACAAAAACAAAGCATCTGTAATTTGCAATATACTGAAAGTGAAATGGGCTGTCCTTATAAACGATATGTCTTTTTATACCTCACACTCATACTGTCCAATGTCTGCCTCTGTTGCACCAATGACTGTTAGAGACAAGATTCCACTTCGGGCATCATTCACAATAGAATATTTATCATCGCTAACCAACTCCCTGTTGTCTTTCAACCACCTGCAATGATCCGTGCTGTTAGCAGGTACAAAGACCATGAGCTTTGCCTTTTAATGTGATTACCCATCTGTGCTGCCATACCTGATTCTTGGTAAAGGAGCAGTGCGTGTGGAGCAAGAGAACTGGATATCTTCTCCCTCTATCAGACAAGCACTCTCCAGCCGACGTACAAACCTGGGTGGAGCTGGAAATACGAATAAAAATACACGCAAATGTCAAATATTCTATCACTTGGAAATATTGTTCAACAGGCGTATGGATATTACTGACTTTTTTTTAATTAATGCAGAAGGTAATGATAAGATTAATAAAGTGATTAGCCAGAAAATTTTATTTTAAACAAGTATGAAAGTTGCAAGACAGATGCATCTACCAGTAATAAGAATATTATAAGTAAATGAAGTTTGAACTGTGATCAAATGAGAAATGAGACAAGGACAAAACAACCCTAACAGTTTTTAAATCTACAGCTTGGTTTATCTCCTCTATGACAGTCTATGACATGCAGTTCTGTATGAAAAACTCACTGTTAGGGAATTTTTGGTCATTGTTTTATGGATGTTTTTAACCACTATGAGAATGTTAACTGCCCATGAACCATGTATTTGAGTTAGCAGAGAGAGCTGGATGAGGAGCTGATTTGATACTGCAGGTGCAGCTGGCAGTCCAAGGTCACCTCCGAGTCTGCCTGTGATCTTGGAGGAGCTGATAAGCATATAAAAACAAGCCTCGCACACTGCCCGGGGCAGATTCTTGTGACTGGGCTTCATGTTTATACTTTCTGTATATCTGTGTAACCTATTGTAAAAATCTATCCTTGCAAGTAAAACCGGTTAAAAATCTCCTGTTATTGAGTGTGGCTCCTTTGAGTAAGTAAGATACGATGATGTTTTTTATCCAACACTCACCCTGAACCAACACCTTTGCCAAAGTTCCAGCTCTGCCCATGGAGCTGGTGGCATAGCACGTGTACTGCCCCGAGTCCTCAGAGGTGAGGCAGTCCAGGACGAGGCTGCATGTTCCTGACCGGTCGGCTGTGATGATGTGATGTGGGTCATCCTCCAGGGCAAGACCATCTAAGGGGTAATCATCAAAATTTTACTCATTAAATTAAACTATAAATGTGTGGAAGTATGTTACAGGAGAAGGATGGCCATTTCCTGGATGTTAGAATAGAATAGAAACGGCCTTTATTGTCCCACGGATGGGAAATTCAAGTGTAACAGCAGCAACAGCAGCAACAGATAAAAGATAAAAAGATTTCACACAAAAGTTCCTAAATGTTAATAAATAATACAATATATAAGAAATAAGATAAACAATATCAATAATAATGTTCAATATGTATTGGAACCTTGATAATGGCAGACTGTTTACAGTACAGTATTCTAGGCAGAGTGTGTGTTTTAGCAGAGGTCAGCATGTATTTAATCCTTATTGAGTTTGTTGGGAGCAGTGATGGTTGTAGAGTCTAACAGCTGCTGGGAGGAAGGACCTGCGGTAACTCTCCTTTGTGCATTTAGGATGCAGTAATCTGTCACTGAACTAGCTCTCCAGTTCAGCAACAGCTTCATGCATGGGGTGGGAGACGTTGTCCAGCAATTATGTTATTTTAGCTATGTTTGCACATCGGCAAAATACATCTGCAGAGTCTAGTGCATTTGAATACATACATTGTAATATAAAGTTCAAAATTCAAACCTTTAATCCAGCTGATGACAGGTTTTGGTGATCCTGACACTCTGCAGCTCAGTTTGATTGTCTGCCCGATGTGCGTTGTACAGTCGCACAGCAGCAACTCGAACACAGGAGGTTCTATTAAAAAACACACGCTTGAATAGGAAATTTAAGATAATCAGGCTATTCAGTACAGTTGCTTTGAGACTATCAAAAATAAAGTAAAAAGTGTTGCAGTAGCCGTGATGAAGACGTACTGGTAGTGAGCAGGCTGGAGCGTTGCTGCTGCTCCTTCAGGTCTTTCAGCCAGGAGACTTTAACAAGAGCAGAGTAGGCCTGGAACGTGTACCTCCGAATAGAGCCTCGGTGCTCATGCCACAAGCCCCAAGACCTGTCCTCTCCACCCACGCTCTCCTTTATTTCCACATCATTCAGCTGGACCCATTGTAGAATGAAATTATAATAACTATAATAATAAATGCATGAGTACATTACAGTAATTTATACCAAATTAAATAAAGTTTACCTTCATCTTGTTCTTGAAGCTGTATGTGTCACGATTCAAGTTGGTGTCTTTCTTCAGCTTACACAGTACAATGCATTCTTTGAAGAGAAAGATTTGTCTTTGATGCCCTCTAGAGGTTGTCTTCATTTCAGGGGATTCCTCCCACACTGTAAAGACTCCCTGAAAGAAAACAAATACATTAATAAAGAAATACATAAAAAAAAAAATCTGGCACACAGTTTAAGGACTATAGGAAGGATTCAAAACTTCCAGAGAAAAATGAGAGCACGGCAGGCCAACGTTTTAGTTTGAACTTATATTGAACCTAACTTGTAGAATTCAAAGTCTTAATGTCTCTGAGACATCTTTTTATTCACTTTTGTTTGCTTTTTATCCTTACTGGTTGTGTTCATGCTAAAAACAGAATAGACATTTGGCTGTCGCCTGTTCTTACCTGTCGCACAGGCTCACCCAGAGAAGTGAGAGGAGCTGGATAGTTTTCAATCAGGGACACGTGATGCACGTTGTCAGACCTCCAAGGTAAACAGGACACCACAGAGAAGCTGTCCTCCAACAGATAGCAGCTCTGACCACTCTTAGCTTTGTTCTTTATTAACTCCTGACAATGAAACAATAAATAAAACTAAAAAAAAAACGGAATAAATACTTAAACAATATAAACAAATACAGAATAGAGATGAAATGGGTTGAAATGAGGCTAATTAATTTTGAGGAAATTATTTAAAATCAGATGATGAAGATAATAACTGAAAAAGATAATGCGCTGAGGACAATTTAATACCAAGATATGAAAAATTACAATATGAGGTGAGAATATTTGTAAACTATCTAGGAGAAGAAAAGTGACTTAAAGAGCGTGTAATGGATTCAGGAAAGGTATAAGTTTTAAATGGTCAAAAAACTGTTGAGAGACATTTCACATGTTTACGACACAAAACATTTGTGTCTATTGAATGACTTAGTGTTTCCATTTCCATGCAGCTTGCAATTCTCACACTTTGCAGGGGTGTCAAACTCACTTACAAAAGGGGCGCAAAATTAAATCCTTTTTCAAACTAAAGGCCAATTTCAGAATCTACATGAACTCAAGTTAGATATCCACCATATTTTCTTTGTCATAGGTTCCTCAACAAAAGTTTGATTGGTCTCATTTGAGGTTCTCTGTTGCACTTTTAACATCATAATCAAAGATTACTGGAAAAAATTAAAGTGATAAATGTATTTTACATTTAACATGTCATCTTGGGGTTCAGAGAACATGTCAACGAGGGCCGCATTTGGCCCCCGGGCCTTGAGTTTGACACATGCACTTTAGAGGGTCGCTTATTTATTTATTTATTTATTTTTATCTAAAGAGGAACAATGATAAAAGAATACAATCAGCTTGAGTTCCTGCAGACTTTTGTCCGTTTAGGCTAAAAACACATTGTCAGCAACAGTGGGAGCAACAGCTTAAATGCTTACTCTTAACAAAACTCATGTGAATACCATTTAAATGTTTTAAGCCTCGATACTAAAAAGAGAAAGATAAAAGAATACACGATTTCATTTAGTTTCACACATATATCTGTTGAAAGAACTGTATGCAGACCTTTAGTAAACTCTGGTAGGTTTGAATCCTCTCCGCTGGCTGCTGGAGGAAATTGAGGACGTCCATGACTGCAGCATCAGGCTTCTCACGTTCTGTTATCTCCTAACATGTTTAACAATATAATACAAAAGGATCATTAGACAAATGTAGTAATGCAGCTGCTCAGCACTCTGATTGTAGAGTAAGTTTGAATCCAAGAAACAGCTGTAAATACGTTGAAGTACTGCTGGACAGCCTTGTCACTGATGCAGGCCTCTGCTTGTGCTTGTCCCACCATGTAGTGAAGATACTTTTCAAAGTCTTCGGCGTGTTTAATGAGAAGCACGGCAACATCGTCATCTGTTCCACACTTTTTCAGACCAGGAAGGATGGAACTGAAAGGGCAAAAAGTATGACTTTTCATCATTTGTCACGAGCGTTAAACTAAAGCTGTGATGGTGTGCAGTGTATGAGTGTGCGTTACCGTTCATGTAAGGACACAATGTCCCTGATGTTCCTGAAAATGATCTCTTTGTTGTTGAGGACATTAATGGGGACATGGTGGCTATGATCCAGACAACTGAGCTGGTGGGAGATAAACATCCTCATCGCTTTTACAAACTCCTCTTCTCCATCAATCAGACCTTGGATCAGCTGACTGAAAACCCCACAACATTAACCAGATAACGTGTGACCCAACATTTGTTTTTATTATTTTTAAAATTTACTGTAAATTATGCCCATAAAAGTCACAATATTAATATACCGTATTTTCCGGAGTATAAGTTGCACCAGTCAAAAAAAGCATCACGAAGAGGAAAAAAACATATATAGATCACGTTTATTATGCATGACCGCTGACCCCCGGGAAACATGGGCCGGTGTTGTGCCAAAAATTGATTGGAGGTCGTAGGAGCACGCACAGGAGGACTCGCTGTTGCAGTTCTTCAAAATTTAACAAGATTAGCATTTATTTGTTTGCTTGACATTATAGCAAAGGTGTGTCTCAGTTTAACTTTTCCTTAATAAATTTTAATGGTCAGTGTTAGGTGAGGGGGCGGTGGTGGTAGCGGTACAGGAACAACATATAAGCCTACTGGTAGTTGTCAAAAGCCTAGAGGGCCTTTTGTGCCTCAGTCAGTTGCAAATGTTAATGTTTACTCTGGTTCATGTCAGTATGAATGAACATTTAAAGCGTCAGTCAAAAATTGCGTCATGAATATGGAAAAAAAAAACGTTTATAAGTTGCTTAGGCGTATAAGTCGCAGGAATGGCAAATCTATGCATAAAACCGTGACTTATACGCCGGAAAATACGGTACCTGAAAGCTCTCCTGTACTCTTCACATGTAGACCCAATCCCATCAAGATCTTCTTGAGGTACTACTCTCCTTTGATGGAACGTCTCCTGTTTAAAAATTAAAGTCAGATGATAAATATGTCGTCATTCTTAAACTTGGATTTACCGCCTGACTTAGCAGATTTTACCTTTCTCTTCTTCTCCAGATAGGCTGGGCACAGCCATCCCTGACGAGAAGGGTTAGTTTTGGTGGGTTTGGTTCTCACCAACCACCTGTCAGGATGAACAGAATCCAGCACCTCCACAAACTGACCCTCTTTCAGAACAAAACTGTCCTTGAACCCATAATTAGGACTGCAGTCAGCTCGAGCCACGTATATTTCATTAGTCTGAGGAAGAAAACACACAATTCTAAAGGCTATGACTTAGAAATGACAATACGTTTCTGAGATATATTTTTAGAAAGCTCATGAAATAGACTCATATTTTGTTTAGACCGTCGGGAAAGAGCATGAAAGTACCTCTCGTGTGTCCTCTTCTCCCTCTGATTCTGATCCAGTTACGGTGCTTGTTAAAAGTGTGTGGGAACGATGATGTTTTGGAGACGGTGTTCTCAATTTGATTTCATAAGGTCCTTCAAGTAAAGACAAAAATTTGTTTACAGTTTTGATATGGAAATTGAAAACAGGATGGGGGAAATACAAAGTAAGTTACTATTGTTGAAACAAACCATTTCTGCTGTTTATCCCTAAAAAATGTGAGTAGATTAAAATATGAACCAAAACAAGACAAGGTGACCTGCAACACATCAAAACTTCAGGTGATTTAAATAAAATTGATTAAACCACAAAAACACTGTGCCAAAATCGACACATTTCCCATTTCTTTTTAGATATTTGTTCAATATAAATGCAATGCTGGCAATATTTGAAGGACTGGACATGCTTCTCTCTGAACACTAAATTTGTGTCACAGTACAAATATTTTACTCAACTATTTGACAGCAAGATTAGCTTTTTTGTGTTACTATATGGATTCTACTGCATCCAACTTTTTGACTATTATACTCGCCATCATTTATATTTTAAATAGTTTTTATGTTTATTTTCATTAATGCAAGCTTATCCTTTAATAGAGCTTTTATTTATTTATTTTTAATTAAAACTGTGCTTTGAATGTTATTTTTTTCAGCATTTAATATGTTGCAGTTTCAAATAAATATGACTTGTAAATAAGCATTATTCAGTATCCTAACATATCAAAAACCTCAATAAAAAATGTAACTAATACTGACCTTTGACATCTAAAAGTTTCTTAAGAGGTTGCAGAGCACTTGTCTCTTCCTTCTCATTCTTTGGAGTTATTGTGTCTTCTGGTTTTGATACTTCACTGTAACGATATTCATAAGTTGTTGATATATTCATGAACACAAGAGTGTGTAAAAAAACCCAACAATCTTCTACCTTGAAATGAGCGGGACAGTCTCGACTGGTTCGATTACATCTGGAGCTGTGTCGTAATCAGAGGGACTCGACACTGTTGAAGGTAAAAATGAACCTCATTTGTGCTTTGTTGGAAATATGAACGGTTTAGTGGTATTGTTGATTTTGTTTGTGTGACTCACTGGAGCTGACAGCAACAAGCGAGGATCGTCTCCTCTCTTGTAGTCTCCTCTGTGCGTCCTGCTCTGTCAGGTTGAAGGCCTCCCACAGAGACACACTAACACTCTCCACATAGTTCCCAGCATCTGTTCTCGACGCTGCCGCCTGTTCTTGACTCTGAAGCTGATCCTGAGTTTGTGGTTCTGCCTTGGCTTCAGATTTTATTGGTGCAAGCTGCAAAGGAGTTATGGCAGCAAGAGGTGGGTGTATCGGCTTCTGGGGTGCTAAAGCAGGTTGCGGAGTCTTCACTACAGTTATGTTTCCATTGTAGGAGGTGACGCCAAACTTATTTGCCACCTCGCAGGTATAAACTCCACTATCACCGTTAGTCAAGTTTTTGACCACAAGTGTGCATTCTCCATTCTCTGAAGTTTCAACCCGGTAACGCAGATCATTGGTGATTTGCTGGCCATTTTTCTGCCAGCACACTGTGCTGGGCTTTCCTTCTACAATGCACTTTAGGGTGAGTGTACCATGAAGATCTGCATTCTGGTTTTTGAACACCTCTTTAAAAGCTGGACGCAAGTCTCTGCGGGCTTGAAATCCTTTGAAGGCTGCTTGGATCTTGACTGCAGCCTCTTGCATTTGGGTTTCTTCTGTAGCCTCTAGAGAAGAACGCGCTGGTGTCTGTATCTCCTGAAGAGGCAGCTCTTCTGGATGCCTCTCAACCTCAGAGTCAATAGGAAGGACACGGTTAGGTTGTACCTCTGTCAGTGCCTCTGAGAAAGTTTCATCTTCTGAAATGTAAAGAAGCGGAACATCTTCCACCACTTTTGCTGTTTGTTGTTCTTTTTCTCTTCTTCTTGGCTCAACAGCCAATTTTACTTCCTGAACTAATCCAGGATCTTTTCTAATGGGTTTAACTAGTTGCTTGATCGGCTGCTTTATTTCATCCACAGCTTTATCATCCGTTATGATGGACCAGTCCCGCTCCAGTCTCGGTTTCTCTTCAGTCTCGTTTCTCAAAGGCTTTATTGCTTGTTTTATAGTTTTATCTTCAGCGGAACCTGCCCGTACATTTCTTGGATCTTGTTCATCTTGATCTGTCTCTGTGTCCCTTGACAGTTGTTTTTCCATGTCCCGTTTTGCTCGTCCTTTCATCCTCGTAGGTGGCTTTGGAACAACCCCTTTTTCATCAAGCTTTTCTTGTTGTTCCACTGACTGTTTTTCCATCTGATTTACAGAGGGCATTAATTTCAGTGTTGGTTTCTCTCCCTGCTTTGCAATTTGCTTATTTGCAACTTCTGTCTGTTTGTGGTCTTCTTCAGGAACACTCAGCGAAGGCTTTATTACTTGAGGAACAATATCCTTTGTTTCTTTTGAATCACACTTGACTCCATTTGTTGCTTTTCCTTTCATCCTTACTGGTGCTATCAAAGGCACCTCTTCCATAATTTCTAATTCACCTATCCTTTCTGAAGACTTAGCATTTTGATCAGTCGTTTCTTTCCCATTCACTTTTCCTTGTGTTTTTTCAGGGTGTTTGCCATCCTGACTGTCCTTATAAACCGTTGTTGCTGGTTGTTTCTTCTCCTGATAAACTTCATTTGTTTTCTCTGAAGACCTTTCTTGCAGTTTCAAACTCTTTTTCATTTCATAATTATTTTCCACTTGTTTCGTTTGAAGCAGAGTTTTGTCAAATAGTCTGTCTGACTGACTTATTTCAGGGCCCACTTCAACAAATTCCTTCATAATCATCTCTGGTTGTTTCCTTTTCAAGAAAACTTCTTTTTCTTTGTCCAAACATCTCCTTGGCTCTTCACCCTTCATGCTTTCTGTATCAGTCTTCTGTGGTAGTCCCACGGATGGAGCATCGTTCTTGTGCACACCAGCTTCAGTTTCTTCATTTCTCTCCACATGCTTGACATCCTGTGCAACAGCTGAATCTTTTTCTGTTGGTTTCTCAAGCTGGATGCCTTTTTTCTCGTCTGTTTTCGCTTTAATCACTAATGCCTTTAGGTCATAAAGTGGCTCCACGTCTTTATCAGAATTAGTAATAGACATTCTCCTGTTAGTCCTCTTTTTGGGCTCAGGAGGACCAGGTTTGGTCTCTGAAAGGTTGGACTTGTCCTGTTCTGAATCAGGAGCTGTTTTCGAAACAGTTCCTTTTATCTGTGGAAGTACTGAGGTAGATGTTGCTTTTGGTGGAGATATTTGTTGCACTACAGTAGAAGGGGTAAAAACCATCAACATTGATAAAATCAGCTGTTCCTAGAAGCTTGCTAGACATATTTCAAGATCTACATACCTTTTAATGTTATGGTTGCGCAAGTCTCTGCACTTCCCGCATGACAAGAGTAGCTACCACTGTCCTCTGACATGAAATCCTTGATGTGAAGCTGTAGGAAACAGCCATCTTGTTTCACCTCGTACTTCCAGCTGGCTCTTAGTGGCTGATTGTTCTTCTTCCACTGAACAGACACTCCAGGTTTGGATAACTCACAGCACATGGAAGCTGTACTGCCCACTTCAGCCTCTGTACTTTGTATTTCTTTGATGAAGAATGGAGCGAGCTCTGTATAAATAAAAATGTGGCAGATAAACATATACATTTAGTAAGGACACAAATACATTATTGGTAGGTTGATTTGGCATATGTGCATTGTCACATAATACATGTTTATGAGAGCTTTTGTAAAATTTCATATACAAATACACCTGTACATATTTGAACATTGTTACTGTATATTAGGTATAAAGTCACTTTGGGCCAAAGGTCGATGACTGGTTTTGTAATTATGTCACCAGACCTGTGGCCCGTGTCTTCAGCCCCAGGGTGCAAAGAAGGCCAGCGCTGTCAACCAGTCACCATATGGTGATGAGTTAGATCTAATGGTGGGGAACAGCTGACACAGGCTAGTGATATTGCCAGACAGTGGAAGAAACACTTTCAGGATCTCCTTAATCCAGCCACCATGTCCACCTATGAGGAGGCAGACTCTGGGGACTCAGGTGAAGATCGATTACCATTAGAGCAGCTGGAGCTGGAGAGTGTCACTGGAGAAAGGGATGCGGAGATTTCCCTTCTAGACCTTTTACCCTGATGACTCGGCCACAGATAAGCCACAGGAAATACTGGGTTGAATGGATATAGACCTGCTTGTTATTTTTCATTTGCAAACTGTTGACAAATAGTTAAAAAAATCTAACAGACAAATAGAGAGATAACAGAGTAGAATACGTTATGTATACACTTTTAAGTCTTAAACGTACAAACCTTTCACTGATACAGTTGCAGTGGTCTCTGCACTCCCTGCTTGACATGTGTAGCTGCCGCTGTCCCCAGCTTTGAGATCCTTGATGTTGAGCTGAACAAGGCAGCCTTCCTGCTTCATCTCATACTTCTTACTGGATCTTACTGGAACTTTATTTTTCTTCCAATGCACTGACACTCCAGGTTTAGACACTTCGCAGACCAAAGATGCTGTACCTCCTTCCTCAGCCTGCACACTTAGTAGCTCTTTCTTGAAAAAAGGAGGAAGCTCTGGGAAGATGTGAATGTAGAACAGTCTTTTAGATCAATGCAACTGATTGCGTTGATAATGCAAGGTCATATGATTAGCAAATAAATATGAGAATTCAATGAACCACTGCATTATTGAGTTAAGAGAAGACTGTTTAAACTATTCTGCATAATTGTCTTGGGTTCACCACCTTTCACAGTCATTGTGGCCGTGGTCTCTGCAGCTCCTGTTTGACATGAATAGCTGCCACTGTCCTCAGGTGTGAGATCTTTGACGTGGAGCTGGAGGAAGCAGCCATCCTGCTTCATCTCATACTTCCTGTTCACTCTCAGTGGGAGCCTGTTCTTCTTCCATTGTACTGGTACACCTGGTTTAGATACCTCACAAACCAGAGAGGCTGTACCTCCCTCCTTAATGACCACATCTTTCAAATTTTCCTTGAAGAGTGGTGGGAGCTCTAAGGAAATTGTCAACGATTGAAAATGAATCGTCAAAAAATTGTAATGAATTATTTTTTATCCTATTTAGCTGCTATGTTGCTTATATATACACTATAAAATTTATTACTGTTCAAAATTTACAAACCTTTCACTGAAACAGCTGCAGTGGTCTCCACACTTCCTGTTTGACATGTGTACCTGCCGCTGTCTTCAGGTTTGAGATCCTTAATGTTGAGCTGAGCGAGGCATCCATCCTGCTTCATCTCATACTTCTTACTGGAACTTAACACTTTATTTTTCTTCCACTGCACTGACACTCCAGGTTTAGACACTTCACAGACCAAAGATGCTGTACCTCCTTC